AAATTGTTACCCCTGTGCCTTCAGCCCACCCATCGAGCCCTGGCACGATCCAAGATGGGCATCAGTAGTAAGAAGTCCCATTCAACAAATCGGGCTGCTGAGAACAGGGAATTCTGGGAGCTGTAGTTCTAAACATCTGGTTTAGAATAACAGAGTAAGCCGAATGCAGTACTAAGAGTGGTCCTATTAGTACTAGGAGCAACAATTAGTTCAATAGCCGCCGCCTGCTCCTCCTCCTCCTCCTCCTCTTCTTCTTCTTCTTCCTAGAGTATTCCCGCAGATGCAGGATTCGCTTTTCGGATCCTTTTTTATTTTTTATTTAAAGCTTTAAAAAGGTTTTACAAATATTTACCTCCCTTCCCCCCCACAACCCACTCCCCCCCCTCCCAGAGCAAATACAGGGTATAAATCTTTAACAACCATATTCTAAAATAAACTAACAGACTTTAGCATTCATCCCTCACTTGTACTTTAACTCCCCCTTTGTTAAGCTATCTCTAAATAGGTTATATCATTCCTTGCTGATTCATTCATAAGCTATCTGGAGTTTCTTAGTCCCATATTTATTTTGAATATAATCGATCCATCTTCTCCACTCCCGCTTATATTTCTCGTCTGAATCATCCTTGAGGTCTACTGATATTTTAGCCATCTCTGCTAAGTTTGTTACTTTTAACATCCATTTTTGAATAGTAGGCAATCCTTCCTTCTTCCAGTATTGCGCCACCAGCAGTCTTGCTGCAGTTGTTAGGTTCAGAATCAAATTAAGTCTCTATAACAGTACAATCAGTAGTTATAACTAACAAAAATAACTGAGGGGTAAACTTTATCCTCTTTTAAAAGATATTTTGCATAATCCACCATATTTTTATCCAAAATGCTTTTCGGATCCTTGAATGCCACTTTCTGAGGTCAGCTGCTTGCATGTCTTTGTTGATGGTGTCTTGGCATTTCTGTTTTGGACACCCCATGTGGTCGCCGGCCCTTGACTTCTAGTTGATAGGCTGTACAACAGCTGTACTACTAGGAGTAAATTTCCAGCAGTTCTTAAGCAAATATGCCCTTCAGAAAGGCTCAAATCCTGATGTTTATGCTGTGTTCCAGGCAAGAACAATACCACGGAAGTGGGCCGCCCTTGCCTTCTTCCAGGATGTTTCTTTAACCTCTAGCATTGTCCTTTCCTCATGGTCTCCCATCCCAGGCTCCCAAAACATCAAGTTACTGATGCTATAGGGCGCTGCACACCAGAACAACTAGACAAAGGGACAGTTTTTTCCTGAATGCCATCACTCTGCTAAACAACTAATTCCCACAACACCGTCATGTTACCTACTAAGACTGTATTACTATTCTTCTTCTCTTCCTCCCTAGTACCTATCTCTTTCCACTTATGACTATAACCTTGTTGCTTGTATCTTTCAAATTTATATTGTTTTATGTATTCCCTGGTATGATAGATTGCTTATTAGTAACCTATGACTATGTATTGTATCTTACGATTCTTGATGAATGTATTCTATTTTATTTTTTCTTTATGTACACTCAGAGTCTATGCACCAAATACAAATTCCTTGTGTGTTCAATCACACTTGGCCAATAAAGAATCCTATCCTATCCTCTATTCTATAGTACTCTACTATTCAACTCTACTCTGATTCTATTCTTCTACTCTACTCTACTTCTATTCTACTATTCTACTCTAATTCTATTCTACTCTACTTCTACTCTACTACTCTACTTCTACTCTACTTCTATTCTACTATTCTATTCTACTCTACTCTAATTCTATTCTAATTCTATTCTACTCTACTTCTATTCTACTATTCTACTCTACTCTATTCTACTCTACTTCTATTCTACTCTGATTCTATTCTACTACTCTACTTCTATTCTACTATTCTACTCTATTCTAATTCTATTCTATTCTAATTCTATTCTACTCTACTTCTATTCTACTCTTCTACTCTACTTCTATTCTATTCTACTCTACTCTAATTCTATTCTACTCTAATTCTATTCTACTCTACTTATATTCTACTCTTCTACTCTAATTCTATTCTATTCTACTCTACTCTAATTCTATTCTACTCTATTTCTATTCTACTATTCTACTATTCTACTCTAACTCTATTCTATTCTACTCTAATTCTATTCTACTCTACTTCTATTCTACTATTCTACTCTAATTCTATTCTACTCTACTTCTACTCTACTACTCTACTTCTACTCTACTACTATTCT